GGAGGTTGGATAAAAAGTTGGAAGACGCTCTTTGCCTGTGATCGCGGTCTGCGCCCAGGCGCAGACGGGCAAGCGGGGCCAGCATGCCGGTGGCCAGGAGCTGGGTTTGTCGGAAAACTTACGTGACCCCGCAGAGACCCTTCGAGAAGTCCCATCTCAACCAAGAGCTGAAGCTTATTGGCGAATATGGGCTCCGGAACAAACGTGAAGTCTGGAGGGTCAAGTTTACTCTGGCCAAGATCCGCAAAGCTGCCCGAGAGTTGCTGACGCTGGACGAGAAGGACCCACGGCGACTGTTTGAAGGCAATGCGCTGCTTCGGCGACTGGTCCGCACTGGTGTGCTGGACGAGGGCAAGATGAAGCTGGATTACATCCTGGGCTTGAAGATCGAGGATTTCTTGGAGAGGCATCTGCAGATCCAGGTGTTCAAGCTCGGTTTGGCCAAGTCCATCCACCACGCCCGCGTGCTGATCCGCCAGCGCCATATCAGGGTCCGAAAGCAAGTGGTGAACATCCCGTCCTTCATTGTCCGCCTGGACTCCCAGAAGCACATCGACTTCTGCCTGGGGCCTCCATACGGTGGGGGCCGCCCAGGCCGCGTGAAGAGGAAGAACGCCAAGAAGGGCCAGGGTGGGGCTGGAGCCAGCGATGAGGAGGAGGAAGATTAGGCTCACCAGGGCCCTCCTGGGTGGGAAACGGTCTAGTGTACCAGCCAGGTGATACAATTAATTCTTGAATGATAATTAATAAATCAATTAACTAATGGGGGAAAAGGAAAAAAGAAAAAAGTTGGAAGACAAAGGATAGGAGAATGAGAATGTTATTTAGCTTGTTTGAAAAACAAATAGTTCAAAGTTACAGTGCTCTATGGTTATAACTAAAGTTATAACTGAAGTCAAGTTGTTGTGTACCATAGAGTCAGAACGGACACACAGCAAAGTAAAGAGAAATACAATTTAAAAGTCACTAGAGATGACAAGTTTTATGAGACCATATTTGTTATCTTTCCATTGAATGGGAATGAAGTGTCTTAGAGCCTCAGATCTGAGTTTGTGGCTTAATTATATTAATGACATCTTTATCTAAAAAAAATTAAGCTCATTTTTTGGTAGAGTTATTATGAAATCATGCCTCTAAGTCATGGTGCATGGGTACACAGACACTTAACAAATTAGTACATTTCCTCAAAAGCTCTGGTTTGTAGCCAAGGAAGGCTCAAACTTAGGCCTGCTTCACTTCTCTATACTCTCTAGTGCTCTATCCTGTTGTAACTGTGTTTGGTTCTAACCACCTTTTGTTGCCATGGAAACACTCAGATTACTGTCCTCTACTATTAGTGGCTACCCCATTTCCTGTTAGACCACAGTACTAAGTGTGACAGAGGCCATAGCCTTTTATTTAAGGAACATGTCTATGGTCAGATAATGCTGTGTGCATAGCTCTACCTGCTCATATTGGTTTTGAGGCCTCTGCAGGCTTTTATTTTCTAGAGGCCTCATTGCACTGTCCAGCCAAAGGTAGGTGATGTGATCTGCTCGCTGTTTCAAAGGAGAAGTGCAGGCAATCTCCTCCTGATATTTACAATATCTAAAAATAGAGGGAGGGTCAGTTTCCACTTCAGTGGCAGTGGGTGAGGACCTTGTCACAAAGTATCTTTTGAATCCAATTAGTGTACATCTGTATGCATACATATGTTGTTGTTTCTATATGCTGTCTTAGTGACCTTCTGAACTATAGCTCTGAACTTTGCCCTATCGTGAGCCAACCTTACTGACACACCTGGCCCCATTGCCACAGTCACTATATCTCACCCAGG